CTAAGGTGGAACTAGAACTCACCGGCTCCTGGTGATTGGCCCAAAGTCACCCAGCTGGCTTTTGTGTCTAATGTGGGACTAGAACTCTTTGTCTCCTGGTGACTGGCTCAAGGTCACACAGCAAGCTCTCATGCCTAAGGTGGGAGTAGAATTCACAGTCTCCTGATGACTGGCCCAAAATCACTCAACCAACTTCCATGCCTAAGGTGGAACTAGAACTCACCGGCTCTTGGTGATTGGCTCAAAGTCAGTCAGTTGGCTTTCATGTCTAATGTGGGACTAGAACTCACCATCTCCTGGTGATTGGCTCAGAGTCACTCAGCTTGATTTAATGCCTAAGACAGAACTAGAACTCACCATCTCCCAGTGATAGGCTCAAAGTCACCCAGCCGGTTTTTGTGTCTAATGTGGGACTAGAACTTTTTGTCTCCTGATGATTGGCCAAAGTTGGCTTTCCTACCTAAGGCAGGACTAGAACTCCTCACCTCCTGGTTTCTATCCCAGCGCCTTACGCACTAAACTAAACTGTCTCTAAACAACATGCAATGTTCACTTTACGTTTTGCCCAGGATGTTCTCTACCCTAAAATCTAAATATACAACCTCATCCTGAGCAAAGTTTAGAGTAGATGAGTCCTCTTACTTGGGACAGTGGTCCCCGCACCGCCCTCTTTCCAAGCTCAGGCTGAACTTGATGATGGGGTTGGAGGCCAGCTGCTCCATATGGTAGAAGGAGTCCATGGGAGCCATGTCCTTGTCACCGTCGCCAATCCCGAACCGCGCTCGTCTCGCAAAGATGCTGTGCTTGGTCCCCTTGTGGCAACTGTTGGGTGTGCCCGCTGCAGAGTCTTCGCCATCCGTGTGATCATCCGTGGTTTCAGATTCCTCCAGATCTGAGCTACCAAGCTTTCTCATCTTGCCCAGGATACTTGACATGGCTGGTTACGAAGAAGCTACAAATGAAACATCAGTCGCAAAATGAAACATCGGTCCTTGGTGCTCTCTGAGCTGGGTGGTTTTCTTGCAGATGTTTCATGACCCAACTAGATAACATCTTCAGCGCTAGAAGAGAGTGGAATTTGTGGAATGAAGGAGAAGAAGGAGAAGGGGAAGAGGAAGAGGAAGAGGAGGAGGAGGAGAAGAAAGAGGAAGAGGAAGAGGAGGAGGAGGAAGACTGAGGGATCCTTGGTGCTCTTTGAGCTTGGTTATTTTCATGACCCAACTGGGCAACGTCATCAGTGCTAGAAGGGAGAAGGGTTTGGGGAGAGGAGGAGGAGGAGGAGGAGGAGGAGGAGGAGGAGGAGGAGGAAGAAGAAGAAGAAGAAGACTGTAGTGGTCTCTGAGCTTGGAGCCATTTCATGACTCAAACTAGGTAACATCATCAGTGCTAGAAAGGAGCGGGGTTTACTCTCAATTTATAGTCTAGTCCTAATATATATTCTAATTGAAACCAACCCCCCTTCCTTCTACCACTGATGATGTTGCCTAGTTGGGTCATGAAATGTCTACAGGAAAACATCTGAGCTCAGAGAGCAGCAAGGACCCCTCAGTCGTCGTCGTCGTCGTCGTCGTCGTCGTCCTCCTCCTCCTCCTCCTCCTCCTCCTCCTCCTCCAATCCCATTCCTTCCAGCACTGATAATGTTACCTAGTTGGGTCATGAAATGTCTGCAGGAAAACAACCAAGCTCAGAGAGCACCAAGGACCCCACAGTCCATTTCCTCCTCCTCCTCCTCCTCCTCCTCCTCCGCTAATCCCATTCCTTCCAGCACTGATAATGTTACCTAGGTGGGTCATGAAACGTCTGCAGAAAAACATTTGAGCTCAGAGATTAGCAAAGACCCCACTGTTCAACTCTGATCTATAAATATTCTCCTTTATCAGTATCCTTCGCAAATATATATTTTTTTAGAAATATCAGGGGGTGAATTAAAATGCTGGAGGAGATGTCATAATATAGGTAGACATTTGACCCTAAGGGAGTCTGCCCTTTATGACTGTATGGTCATAAAATGGGACGATCACATGACAAACTATATGTTACAACGTTTGTTGTAAGAGTCATTAAGAGAACTTACGACCATTTGTTTAGGGACGGTTTGAAGTTACGACACTGAAAAAAAAAACGACCTATGACCAGTCCTCGCACTTATGACCATCGCAGCATCCACATGATCAAATTTGGGCGCTTGGCAACCGATGTCGTATTTATGATGGGTTGAAGCATCCCAGGCTCATGTGACCTTCCCAGCTGGCTTCCCACAAGCCAAAGTCAGTGGGGAAAGCCAGATTCACTTAACGACCGGGTGATTCATTTAACAACTGCCGTGATTCGCTTAACGACGGGGGCAAAAAAGATTGTAAAATTGGGCACGGTTCATGTAACCACCACCTTGCTTAGCATTCTGGGGTAAAATGGGGCAAAACTCATGTCACAAATTTCTCACTTAACGACATACATTTTAAGCTCAACTGCGGTCGTAAGGTCGAGGATTACCTGTAACATCCCTTTATAAATGTTATATATTTTTTTCTTGCCTGCAAAAAAAAAAAATCCATGTTCAACTTTGCTGTGGCTGTAAGAAACAGGGATTTCTAGAGGTGCTGAGCTAGAAGGATACTGACTGTTTTCATTACAGCAATGTTTTTTTTTCCTTTTTCTGAATTTGGTTAGCCCAGCCAAATTCAAGAATTTTGAGATCCCCTTTTTTTCATTTCGGAAAATAAACTCGTGATTCTTTTTTTTGCCAGTAATAAAACGTTTCTGCTTTTGGATCGTGTTTGGTTTGGAATATTCATTTAATATTCCGGCACGAAAAGAGGGAAAATAACGCCTCTTATTTAAAAATTAAATTAAGTTGCATTGAATAGCAAACAAACGACGCGATCGTTTTGAATTCTTTCTTCGGTTTGCCTGCAAAAGCTTGAATAAACATCCCTACAGAAGGTTGGATCACAAATAGGTCCATTTTTGTCTTAATCATCAAATGTTTAAAATCATAGAATCCTAAGTCTGAGAGGGACCTTGGAGGTCTTCTAGTCTAACCCCCGGCTGAGGACAGTAGTCCTTATTCCATCACAAATAAATGGTTGTCCAGTCTTTTCTTAAAAATTGGACTGAACGCCTAAACCTCGTTTTCAACCGGATGGCTTTGGCTTGCCTTAATTCCATCATTCTTCTCCAAGTTACGACCAAGCAACGATAGGTTGCAAACCTCTTCTAATTTAATTTTTTTTTTTAATTGTTGGGTTAATACAAAACGTCTGCCCTTTCCATTTTTCACTGTTTTTTTTAAAAAAGCTTTTAGCTTTATGCCCCTAGGTCAGAATTAGATAAATTCGAACGGCATCACTCCGATAAGGGAATGTGATGGACACCAGCATCCCTTAGCCAAACTCAGACTGAATTTTTCAAATCAAAATTTGGTTTAAAAAAAAAATCCCCAGGACTTACAGAGGTAGCCAAGGTTTGCCTCTTGCTCACTGCACCTTATTCTGGACGGTCTTTAATATTTTCTGCGAGGGACGTCCTGCCTTAGGCGTTGCCTTGGGGGGGTAAAAAAAATC